CATTGTCTTTGTACTGAATTGTGCTATACAAATAAATTTGCCTTGCCTTGAAATGTCAGATATACATAATACCTCAAAATGTTTTAACAGAAATGGAAAAGGGAAATCACTGCTGTAATGTTCTTAGAAAGTTTTATCAGCCTAAAAATCTACAAAACAAAACAAAACTTAGCCCCCCCCCTAGCAGGCGCCGCAGACAGAGCTGCTCCTTCAGATGCTATCAGATCGTTTCCTCTTCTTGACTTCCAGCTCTCAGCATTCTTTATCTCCACCGAGCCAAATGTGAGTGAAGGGTGAGGCTCTGGATTCCTGTTTAACTCTGTGGTCCAGACCAGCCTAGAGACCCAGAACCTCAATCTGACCGGCAGTTTCAGCTCCTACAGACGTACTGGTCAGAGCCAAACCTCCGGTTCCAGATTCACTACAACTGTGCAGCGATGGAAGATTCTTTTATTTAGCTTGGTAGGAAATCTTTCAAGACCAACCAGTAAAATGTCAAGTCTTCACTTGTGAAATCAATGCACTCAAAAAACAGAACCTGTGTGACAACACAAAGTAAGCCAAAAGATTTCAACCAGCAAAACATCCTAACCCTAACCCATCTAGATTACCTAGAAAGCCTAACCCTGATCTAAGGATAACCTTAACCCTAACCTTTGCCTAAACCCAACCTACCGGTAACCCTAAACTTAACCTAAGCCTGACCTATCTATGTCTAAGCCTTACCTAAGCATAAACCTCACCTAAGCCTAACGTCAACCTAAGCCAGACTCCAAACTAAGCCTAACCCGGACGTAACCCTTACCTTAGCCAAGTTGACCTAAGCCCAACCGCGAATAAACCGTAAGCCTGACCTAAGCCCGACACGACCCTCCGTAAACAGCCGACTTCCTGAAGCTCCACTTCATTCCACTGATTCTTGCGTTTTCTTGAATCAAATCTGATCCCACAGATGTTTATAGTCAGATTTATACAGTGTACCACCTGTGGTTTCTGCCGACAGGTTAATCGTCCCCAGAGCTCATCACTGGGCTCATTAAAACATAGGTAATATTGCTCATTTACACATAAATGAAATAAAAAAACAATTTTTTTCATGAGATAGTTCAAATAAAACGGTTCCAGTCTGTTTTGTTTACTGGATGCCAGTAAAATTTCAGACTTGTATGAAAAACATTGAGCTACTTTTTTTCCTAGGTATTGTCATTACACCGTCACAAGTACAGAGCATCAAAATTCACTCTCTGCATTTAACCCCTCCCCTTGGGGAGCAGTGGGTTGACACTGCCAGGGGAGCAGTGTGGGATTTAGGGTCTTGCTCAGGGACCCAAAGTGGCAGTTGGTGGGAGTGGGCCTTAAACTCAGAACCTCTGGATTCCAAGCGCAATGCCCTAACCACTAATTCCCTAATTAGAAGGATTTTTCTCAATCTGTGCCGAGATCGGTCCGAGCACAGTTACCAAGATAACTGTTGAGTGTAAATGGCACAAAAAACCGTGTCAGACACAACCGAACCACGTTAAACACACGATTTCCAGTGATGATTCTGCTTAGCAGTCGGATGAACCTAAACTTCTGTTGTTGTTTCCTGTGTCTGTAAGCCCTGATTAGACTATGGTTTGTCGTATCCTCTTCCCAATAGGTCAAGTAAATTTTCCAAAGGCTGTGTTCTTCCAACCTGACTCTGCCAGATGGATTTGCTCCGTATATC